TTACCAATGGATCCTCTGCAGTGAATGGGTGCCGTCAGAATGAGAGTAAAAACAGCTGATAAAAACATCCCAATATTCCACAAGTAATCCACATGATTCCAGTCCATCAATTAACATTGTAAAGTGAAAATCTGCATGTTTGTAAGAAATAATTTCAGCATAAAGACATTTTTAAGTTTTAACTTCAAACCATTGCAAGTAATGCTAAATTTCTCCAAATCTCTTCCGATGAAGAAACATCTTCGATGGCCTGAGGGTGAATACATTTTCTGCAATTTTTCATTTTTTGGTGATTAGAACTCAATGAGCTCTTAATATTTTTTGCAATTATTCAAAATTATTTGAAAGTCAAAACTATTTTCTTTGGTAATGCTGTTTATTACCAATAAAATAAGGTTGAGTTTTCAAATAATTTTGAGTAATTTTTGACAGTTTGTAAATGCAACAAAACATGTTTACAGTAATTAAACAATCAGTTAACAAGTGCATGAGCAATTGAATAAGCATTCAAAACTAACTGGTTAGATTGAAAATGTCTAGTACACACACACTGAGAAGGTAATAAACCATATCTGTTCTCATGAATATGCAGATATCCGTGATGTTCAGTGAACTGCTTTTGAAACAGCATTGCTGAACTAATCTAAAACCTCCTCCAAACACAACAGCTAATTTGTTAACAATCCAGCAATCTTTTGTCAGCAGCTGGAGATAAAAGCAGCAGCAGCTCTAGTTGTTCTCAGTTGTTTGTGGGGATAAATTCAGTAGAAGCGTAGTCCACTGAAGTCTCTGCTCTTTGCTGTAGGCATATGACTTGCAGGCAAACACGGCTATCTCTTTCCCATTTAAATGCTAATGAACAGTAGGCTGGGGTTCTGAGAGTGGTGGCGGAGGCTGTGCATTTTTAATGTCTTTATCTCAAAGGTAAAAGGTAGCAGCTCCTGTGCCGTGACTGAGGGGTGAGTACATGATCAGTCATTACACGCACCAGAGGAGATCTGACCAGCGTGTGTGAGAAAACATGCATATTCATCCCAAATACATCCCAACTATACAGAAAAATCAAATCTAGACAACTTTCCCTTGACCTTCATCTATGAATTAACAAAGGAATTATGTAATTCCCTCCAGTTCCTTTTTTCCCTGATTTTAAGTGCTAAGTATCTTTTCATTCTACTTTAATGGCCTTGATTGGATCTATTCATTTCCCCAGATGTTTTTAATTATTATCAAAGACAATGTCAGAAGAGGCCATGGATCCCACTAACAGTATTCCATACGGTCATCTCTAAAATCCCAAGACATCTCGTTCTGAATATCATTTTGATTTGATCTAAATTACCCAGCATCTGGTTGTACAATCATGCTATTTGATGATAATCAAAAACGAGATTATGAAGCGTCACAAAGAACCACAGGAAATCATTCAGATAATCAAAAAGTAGTGGGAACCGTACAGTATGTTAAGTTAACAGGCATGCAGCTATAAATTACATGGAAATATTTGCATATAGACAATGGAAATGTATATGAACTTGAGTGGCCAGTTTTGAATACTGAGCAAATATTCTGGGTTTGGATTGATCACACTAAATCAAACCTTTATTGAATATATCACACACAAATCACACTTAATACACTCATCCGGTGTGTATCGCCATCTCCTTTCTATCTTATTAAATAGATTGGAATATGCTCACACACACGCAAGCCTGCGCTTTGACTGACTGCTGATGCAGAGATAATGAGATGCTTTACTGTGCTGCGAGTGGTAATTGCCTTGGCTTGGTGTGTGAAAATCAAGGCCACTTTGTGTCTCTGTGTCATTGTCATCCTGGATCACACCTGTTATCTGTCTGCTTGAGCCGACTGCAACCAGACGCTTACAGTTCATATTCAATGATATTGTTGTGTGCTACATTTGGTTGTCATTGCTGAGGCTTTTTGAAATCCAGGCACAGTGAGTCATTTTGGCTATCGAGACTTCAGAATTGCTGTCTTTTCCTATAGTGCACAAACACACACTCACACAGAACGACATGCTTCGCTAGCAGACAGTCAGGTGTTGAAAGGAAGAAATCCCTCCTTTATCTGCTTTATCTTCATCTTTGCTTCTTCAATGGCCTCATCAGACAGAGAGATAGTGTTTGCACACACATTCCAACTTCAAAGAGAAATCTGGCAGAGATTCATCAGCTATCACAGAAAAATTACTGATTTTAACTCCAGCCCATATATTTCTTTGTTTTAAAGAGCAGTTTATTTTTAACATCATAAAAGAGTTATTATCATTTATGTATGCATGTAATGTTACATGTTTAAGCATGTAATCTAATATAGGTAATGAAACATTCATGCTTTTTGTCGTAAAGAAAGAGTTCACCCAAAAAATAAAAATTTGCTGAAAATTTACTCAAACTCAGTCACCCAATATGTAGATGAGTTTGTTTCTTCATCAGATTTAAAGAACTTGTGCATTTCATCACTTGCTCATTAATGAATCCTCTGCAGTGAATGGGTGCCGTCAGACTGAGAGTCCAAACAGCTGATAAAAACATCACAATATTACACACCAAACAGTGTATTAATCAAAATATTGTGAAGTCAAAAGCTGTTTGTTTGTAAGAAATAAAAGCACCATTAAGACATTTTTTAATTGCAAACTCTTGTTTCTGGCTGAAATAGTCCTCTATCCTCTATCCACAATATCAGCTTTGTCCAGACTGAATCAGGAGAGAAATATGCACAGATCAAGCAACATTTAACATTTAGTTCAAAACGGTTCTAAACAAATATGAGAACAAGGGATGGACCTTTTTCACTGGGGAAGCATTATGTATTATAGACTCATATTTTGGACAGAACTGATGGTTTAAAGTTAAAAACATCTTAATGGTGGTTTGTTTCTTATAAACGTAGCTTTTCACTTCAATAGACATTAATTGATGGGCTGGAGTGGTGTGGATTACTTGTGGATTATTGTGATGTTTTTATCTCATTCTGACGGCACCCATTCAGCTGCAGAGGATCCATTGGTGAGCAAGTGATGTAATAAATACATTTCTCCAAATCCGTTCTGATGGAGAAACAAACTCATCTATATCTTGGATTGCCTGTTTTTTTTTTGTTTTTTTGGTCTGAGGTCCATTTTTGGGTAAACTATTCCTTTATTTTGGAGACCGGATCAAGAATAGCAAGAATAAGTGCTGTAAAATGGCATAGTTAGAAAAAAAATGTTGCTTAAAAAAAACATTCCAGTCAAAACACCAATAAAGACAGACTGCATGTATGTAGATTGTTAGATTAGGTCAGAATATTGCAACATTGACTTACCACTCTAAATTACTCTTATTTGCACTTTTTCTTTATCACACACACACACATATATGCGGAAAGAAAAGTGGGGACATGGGGTAATGTCCTGAAAAGTCACCTTCTCCTTGTAATACCTATGTCATACCTTTGTCATTATACAAATGTATGTCCTCATTTGTCACAAAAACGCGCACACACATACACACACACACACTCACACACACAAAAGTACTAAAACTGTAAAATAAATAAAATGTAATTCACAAATCTGTCAGTGAGCATTCTTAATTAAAGGTTTGTATATTGTGGTTTGGATGTGTGTTGCAATTCATCCATTTATTTGATGGATAGCCCTGACTGGCATTTCTGTGGTTAGGCAATGGCTATTTTGCGGAAACTTGGTCTAACATCAGGTTGTGCTGTTTTGCACAAATACTTGGACACACAAGCATGCATGCAAAATTCATATTGCACTAAGACTCCAGGTTCTGCGTGTGCTCATATGAAAATGCATAGAGGGGCTTGACTGAAAGTGCATAACGCATTAAAATAAACAAATCTACAAATCATCATGCTGCACGCTATGCCATTTTTACAGAAAAGTCACAACAAATCTCACATAATCCTTATGTGTTCTGCACTAACATGCCATTCTTGCTCTACTCCTGTCTCCTCAGGGCGGATTTCATAATTTCTGAATTTATTCTATAATGGCGTGATTTTTTATTGTTTTTTTTACTGGTTCTCACCAGAGAAATCACTCGTGGATTGAGTCCTTGACTCTTTCACTGTGCTGGATAACAACAAATACATCTGTTTGTCATCATGCACTGTGAAATTTTCTTGATCCATGAGGTTGTCGCAAATTTTAATTTGGAGCTAAGTTGATCTAATCATGTTTATAATACTGCAGATTGTGTTGCTAATGAGAATCCCTGAACTTATCATATTTGCTGCAGAAGACTTATGATTTTTTAGTTTTGTGAACAATAATAAAATCAACATTTCATTCAGTAAAAGTTTAAGTGAAAGGAAACCGGATGCACACTTGAGTTTTTTTGACCAATGATATACAGTACCAAAAACTGCTAAAATGATTTATTTAGCTGTTGTACAATTTAACAAGTGCAATTTAACCATGAGGAACAGCTTAACAGCCAGAGTTGCCTGCTTCAGAGTTTTCAGACATTTGTTGTTGTTGTTTTTCCCTTCAGTTTTGTAAATGGCTGACTCCTTCTCAGCTCACATGGCCTCATGGGATAGCAAAATATCACAGTAATTTTACATGATTTTTGCATTCTTTATAGGCTAGTAAAGAAGTATATGCAGGGGGCATTTGCTCCATGCTGGAGGTGAAACAAGCTCCTTTTGTAATTTATTTTTATGCAAACTGTGTTTCTCCATCAGTACTTAATAAAAAAATATATTTTTGGGTCATCTTGCACTTTTGTATCAGAAAAGGACACGTTTTCCATTATGAAGTGGGTTGTATCTTAATGTTTAAAAAAGATAGATATTATTAGCCTATAATTATAGACACATTGTTTCCTTTATTTTCAGAGCAATGCACTGAAAATGCAGTCTTTTATCTTCAAATAACTGTGAGCTACTGTTGTGAACGGGTGTAGCGCGTGGGCGTCGCCCAGAGTGATAGAGAGTGAGAGCGCGAGGCTAGCGCACGCGAGAGTCGTTCGCGTGTTTGCGTGTGATTTAGTGAAGATAAGCGCTGCACCCCCATTACTAACATGTCTCGTGTTTTTGTTTTGATTTCGCCGCATGTATTTGCAATGCCTAATTGCGTTCAAAACATAAATGGGTGTTACTTTTAAGGTAAGTCTCCGCCCAGGGGGAGTAACAGCGCTCCATCCACCTGCCAGACTACTTCAGCAGCAGACAGTCAGTGGACCTGAAGCGTGCGCGCTGCTGCTGCTGCTGCGTGGACGAAAATACACGAGACGCGTTTAAAAACTCCGGTCGAGAGGGGATACGCGCACTTCATTTGAACTGTCACGGAATCACAGTCACAAAAATTAGTTTAAAGGAGTAACTACTTTGTGGACACGTGTATGCAGTTACTTTCGACTGGACGCATTGTTTTGGTTTCTGTACGTTTTCTTTGCGCTGGATTGCAAATGATTTGTACACTGGGACACACAGGATCGTTTGTGACGGACGTTTTGTAGGTGAGTTCTGCGTTCATTTATGAGTAACATGTTTTCATGCTTCATGTCACGTACATCATAAATTCTTTTTTGTACAGAAGATCAGCAGCACAGTTATTATCCAAATGTTTTTATATACTATTTTTAAGAGGATCAGTCCATTACACGGCACGGAAATCCGATTAAATCTGATATTTTGAACTTACTATTGAGATATTTTTGTTGAAAATGGATATGACACTGCTATTGATAATAACTGAATTTCATTTGCAAGTCATATGCTGATGAATTTGATTTGATTGGAATAAAAAAAGCATTAGTTGTGACAGAGATCAACCAGTTTATTCACTGGTTATTTTAAGTAATGTAAAAAATAATTATTTTATTTTTATCATTATTATAATTTCTTTTTGATACAATTAACTAAATGGCCATTATACTAAAACAATAAAACAACACGCATTATGAATATTTTAATAATAATAAGTCAATTATGACAAAGTGGAAGGTTTCCACAGAATTTAGAACAGTGTTTTACCATTGGTAGACAGTATTCAGGAACCAACAACCAATTAAGTAGAAGTGTGTAAATATCTGTGAAGATATCACACAAACTGACTTATCAGTCTATCTCTGTTATCAATTTCCATTTTCTTCCATTCAATAAAAAGATAAGTGAATGATTATGTGAAATCTCAATCATGAATATATCAGTGGATCCTCACCCCCTTCCTCCCTCCCTTCCCATGCAGGACCAAATAAATCTCTTGTGGGTCTTTGGATAAAGTGATCATGCAGGGAGTCGGGACTTTGGTGCTGGGGACCCTTCTGGTCTCTGTGTTCTCAGCTGTCTCGGTCCACAGCAGCCCTTTGTCTTCCCTGCCACCCGCTTCTGCTCCACGAGTCTTCCTGTCCTTCAAAGGTAAGTGGCATTGCTGCTGTACATGCTGTGTCTCACACTGTTGCTCTGTGGATGACATCCACTGGTTTCCTGTTAAAATTAATACAGAAATATATAAACAGCTGCAGCTGATATAGATTGCATGGGAAACATGCATTATTATTTTTGTCCTCAGTGTTTCCAGGAGCCTCATAATATTAACTTTCAGTGCATATGCTTCTGTTGTAGTATTAGGCAATAGGGTGTTTTTTTTTATTGTCTTTTGCGAATCTCTTCATTTTAATGCTGAGCAAGCTACTTCCCTTCTTAGGTTACCTGTCTGTTTCACCTTTGTAATTCAAGGAGTTTTCACAGTCTGCTGCCTGAACTAATTTTCCTTTCTGTTGCCTGTTATTGTGTTTCTTTAATTGGTTTTTCAAACACTCTTTGGGATTGAGCATGTCTACCAGCAAAGACCTAAATTCAGAATTTGCGCGCCACTCTGTGACTGTGAGTTTAACCCTTGCTGGGGGAATTGGATTTCATGTTGGGTCGGTTGGGGTTCATGCACAGCTCATGGTTGGCTAAGCAATGCAATTAGTTTTTAGTTCTGAAACAGTATTTCCCTTGGGATTCTCTGAACTGTTTTTTTTTTTTTCTGAATATCTATGTTCTTGGTAGTAGCCCATTTTCCAGGACTACGCATCCATGATTGCTTATAACAGTGCAGTTTTATTGTAATTTTATTCTCAGGAATCGCAATTGGAAGGCAATTGGAATTTGGTTTTAGGCTTAAACTATATGTTTACAGTATTTCCTCCCAAATGGAATACTGATACTGTATACGATATTGGTCTGGTTTGTTTCCCAGGACCTTTATGTCCAGTACTTCTGTCAGTCAACACTGACACTGACCACTCTTTGCTGCCAAGATACACTGGAGACATACTACATGCATGCGCTGGATGGGATATTCCAGCTTACAATATGACAAAATATGATCTGTGAGTTTCTGGAGATTATCAAAACACTGTAAGGATGAAATAAAAGATCTAGTCTACTTTATGGTGAAAGCCCTTTGGTTGGATTAAAGTTTTTAGTTCTGGATACTTCTGCTCCTCTGTCCAACAGCCTTGATTAAACACTTGAATCATGTTCCTCCCCTGAGAGTGAACGTCTTGTGAAGACGGCTGCATTTGTTTAGGGCTTTAACTCACTAAACATTCTGTTCTCTCCCACAAACAGCTTCAAGCTTAGTGGGATCTTGTTTTGGTGTTGTACATGGATGTGCCATTAGAAAATCATTATGATGGCTAACCAAAATCCAGGCTTATGTTGTAATTGCTTGCCTCTTTTACTCTTTGAGACACACAGGACATCCTGTTTTATATCCCTCTCAGTTACTTAAATGTGACTGTTTGAGCCATGAGGTCATCATCTGTTCACTGTTGTAACAGGGTAATACACTGTTCAGAATTGCACCGAAAATGCCTTGGAAATTTCTTTTTGTTCTTGAAACCAACTAAATGGGATGCACAATTGCAGTTTGAATGTAAGGAAGTAGAAATAAAATGAATTGAAATTTGAGGAATTTTTATAACTGTAATTTTAACCTTGAAAAGAACATTTTTTAAAGACAATGTTCAAAAGAAAAAAAGTCTTTTAGCTCTTAAAAGATAAGTTCACTGATTTTCAAGCTTTGTATTGTTACAATGTCTGTACTATATGTAAATGAACAATGTCTTTCTCTGTGTTGCCTGCACCCAGATATCCCTGTATATTTGTCATCAAATGTCAGCCGGATCGTCAGAGAGGCATTATGGATGTTGACATTTTTGGAAAAAGGGAATGGCACATCCCATTTTCTCTGTTTTATGTAGTCATCTAGCACATATTTAAAATAAAAATAGTGTTTGTGCTGCATACACGTCAAGATTTATTAAAAGCCCATCTTGCCAGTGGGGATTAGATAGATAGATAGATAGATAGATAGAAAGATTGATTGATTTTGAATACAGTCAATTCCTTTTACTATCATTCAATTCAGATTCCAATTCTACGTCCTGTAGATTGTGGCCAATTCAATTTAAATCATGAATTGAAAGGGAATCAATTCTTTAGTTCTGAATTTTAAAACACTGTGTTGTAATATGTTGTTTAAATGTTAACGTGTTTTATATAGTAGTGGTTTTAATTTCATGCATGGAGTGTAATGATTCAATTTAGTTTGAGGTCCAGTTTAAGAAAAACAGCGTAAAGAAAGAAATTAATACCTTTTCAAGTGATCCTCCCTGTGGGATTCAGGTATCATTCACTAGTACGTCTCTCATACATGCAAGCTGAACACAAACATAAATGCACAATTTATGTTTGCATAAGTGTCGGTGAGTTAAGAGAGCAGATACTCTTGTCTTCTTGTGCCCTTACGCATTACAGACAGTCCAAACCACTAGAACATCCCTGGAAGCCCAATCATCTGTGAAGTTCGAGGTCTAGGACTCTGCAGACATGACTTAATACAAGTTCAGACTATTTTCTATGGCTCTTCTCTTGTCTTTTCCCTTTTTATGGGAGTAACTATGATATATTACTTTTGCCCTTCTCTCTCACATACACACACTTCTTTTTATATCCCCTCTTTCCCATGCATCTCTGCAAGCCAGGGATTTACATGCTAAAAGGTAGCCCAGAGGACTTACGAAGAGTCACATGACAGCCTAAGTTAATTTCTTTGCATATGAGCCCTCACATAACTCCTCATTTTTGGACATGACAGTGGATTTATGGGCATGTTTATGTGTATTATATCACTGGTTAAGAGAACCCAGGGATGATTCAAGGAGGAATGCTGTGTGTGAATTGGTATTTTGTGTGTGCGTGTGTGTGTGTGTGTGTGTGTGAGAAAATGGTGCCACGGGTGTTGTTTGTGCACACTGTTTTAATTTAAATTCCATCAGTAGATTCTCTGAGGGGCAGAGCACTTATTGCTCAATTTATACAAATGTTCTCAGACAAAGAACACTTTAAAGTAAGTATCTCAAGGTGCATCACAACTACAAGGTGATTCTGATGGCAGTGCATAAATTGTCACAATTAAATAAGGCATTTAAAGCAGCTTGCTATTTTCCTTTGCTGTTCATGCTAACGCCTGGGTAGCGTTCTTTAAAAACACTAAACAGTGATAGATGATAGTCTGGATTAGATTAAAAGCTTATTGTCTCATTTGTTTTTAATTATGTGGATATGATGTCACACTCTAGAGATTATGGTCTAATAATAAATCAGAAATAATAAATAATAGTAATAATAATAAATAAATAAAAATTAGTAGAGAATTTAAGCATCACATCATTATAATGTATGTTATGAAAAACTATTATTCATTTTGAGATCCTTAGGTTACATTTAAAGTTGTAGTTTTTTTTAAAATGAACTTTAACTGAAAATTAGATGACTGCTAAGAAAGAAAGAAGGGACTATAACCTTATACTGTAATACTTTTAGTGTACACACAATGTCACACTCAAGGGCTTCTGGAATAATAAATCACAAATATTAAGTAATAATACATTTGAAAAATATTCAAATATAGCTGCATCTGGACAAACTAAATTTCTTACATCTAAGAGTCTCATCAGAGGGGTCAATCTGTGTCATTTAGATCCTTTATTGGTTAAATGTCTTTTTGCTGTAGCAATTTGCAGTTTAGTACTTCAGTACAAAACTAACGATGAAAACATTCTACACATGCGTGTATTTGCATACAAATGAATGGAAGTGAATGGAACACACACAAAAAAACAGCTGCTTGTGTGACTGCCCTATTACTAAAGAAATTATAAAGAAATTTAGAAATGACAAATTAATGAATTATTTGTATTTATATAGGTTAAGATTGAAGCTTCTTGTTTGAATGTATATGTGTGTATTAGCAGGTTTGAGTTTATCTCACTGAATGTGCTGGCAAGATATATTTATCTTGGATTTACCATCCTGTGAACTCTCTTAGATGCTTGATGTTTTGAAGTGTCATAAAATATAATGGTTCTGTAAGGTGATGGATAGTCGTAAACCAAACCTAGCCCATCTGCATTTCTTTTATTTGCTTACTAGCAAATAGCTAATACCCAAAAAGATATATGCTCAAACTACTGTACCTGCTTCCAGCAGCATTTTGTTGAGCATGTTGAAAATTATCTAGACGTTTTAAAAATATACTTTGACCTGGAAACAATATATGTGTGTCTGTGCTGGAGGCTTTTTTTTTTTTTTACTTCAAACAAGCCCTAATAACAGCCTATTTGAGGGTGCTAGAGGCTGAGGTTGTGACCCCAAAAAAACAGAAGCAGGTCATTGTCAGGGTGATCGTCCTTGCTGTGTGGGAAAGAGTGAACAAATTCCTGCTATAAAAGCTTGTAATGCTAATATGCAGCCTCATCTCAAAGCATTTAACTCCGTTCTGGCTGTTCATTTAATTATTTCTGAGTAACACCTGGATGCGTAATTGGCCGTGCCTGAAAAAGCAGAAAAAAACTGCTATACAAATATATCCAAACACCCAGTTAGACCATTACACTGCTGAAGTGAGAACATTATCTCACTTACAGCTACTGAAAACATTGTCCATTACAGCTTCCACGATCATTTTGTATTTCTAGAATGTGTTGCAATTAGCATCTCATCACATTTTTGAATTCACTGGCTTTCTCTTGTTAGTTCAAAATATCCATTGTATTGTGTGTAGTTGCTTTTCTTTAAATGCTATAAAAACATTTTCTCAATTCCCTTTTAACAATTCTCATTTAGTATTTATGTAAATGAAGATAAAGAAAAAAAAGGTGAATGAAGACATTTAGTGAAAAGGAATGAGCTTTCTTTAATTGTAGCACATAGGCAACAAGAAAAAATAAAATTGCTATGCAATTTTCATGTTATGACTGATTTTAGATAATGGATAAATCTACCTTAAAAAAAACTAAAAATTAAATCAGCCATTTTAAATGCTATAGGTTAATTCAGGCATCACAACATTATAATGTACA